TACTTAGGCCTCACACAGACATCTTTGCTCTTGAACAGTTTCACTGCCTGTCCAAGGCCACTGAAGGCCAACTCTGACCGCGGCCCTATTCCCTTGCAGCCCACAGGGAAATCCACTCCCAGCAGGTAAAGGAGCACCGCAGCACCGTCCTGGACTTCATCGAGGACTACTTGAAAAGTATGTTGTTTCTCCTGAGGGCAAACTGGCCTCTCGGCGGCTTTGCTCCTGCCTTATTACTAGTATAGTTACCATCCCCCGAGGACAGTTCTAAATGACGTCTCTTCTGCTGTTTTCCCTCTACCAGGAGTATGCAAACTTTACTCAGAGCAAAGAGCCATCCGAGTGAAGCGCGTGGTGGACAAGAAGAGACTGTAAGTCCTGCCTGGGTCGCCGGGCCTGAGCGGTGACTGCAGCCACGGAAGTGTACGCGCACTTACGCTGCTATGTGGCCTGGCGGTTGGTGCAGCCTGATGCTGCAGCCTTTCCCTGACAACAGCCCCGGGCGGCAGGTCCCAGGCCTCCACAGCCAGACAACCTGCTCCGGTTCCTCGTGACCCAGTGTCCTCTGAAAGTGGGTTTTCCGAGGGAGGAGCTGGAGCAAGCTCACAGCAGCCATTCCCCTGAGGCTGCCTCTGCGCTTCCGCGGCCACCCGCCCCACCCCAAGAACTGAGGCAGTCCTTCCGGGTCCCCAGCACCCATGGGGGAGCCGGTGCTGCTTACTGCTAGCTCCCCTGTGCAGACGAGGACACTGATGGGCCAGCAGGATCACACAACCAGGAAGTGACAGAGCCATACCGCCGTCAGGCCTCCCAGACACTTCCCAGACCCATCAGTCCTTCCTGACTAGCTGTTTCGTCTCTTTTTGAGACCTTCCCCAGCAGCAAATGAAGCTTTGTGTGTCCACATTAAGGCCACCTCTGCTTTGAGGAGGCAGCTCTTGCCCAGTCGTATTTTTGCTGCCTGCCAACCTGAGGAGCTCATCTTCTGGGTCTATATCTGACAGTGTTCTGCTGCCTTTTGTAAGGTTTCCAGTGGCTAACCAGTCAGAAGTGGTCTGTCTCTCCTTCCTAGTCAGTCTTTAGAAGCTCAGGTCACCGTGGGTGACCCTGCTGGTATTTAAAATACCTGTGGCATAGCTTCCAGAATCACAGGCACCCACAAGCCACCCCAGTAGGGCAAACAGACTGAGATGGTGGTAACAGTTCACAGCCCGAGAACCTTGTGGGGCAGATCCCAGATCCATTCTGTAATCGTGTCGTTATGACTTGGAATCCCCTCAACAGCATCAGGTTTGGTTTGGGAGCCTTGGTGGGGTGGTAGTTGAGCAATCCGCCCAGAACAGAAAAGTCGGTAGTTCTGACCCACCCAGTGGCTTCATGAAGAAAGGTGTGGCCGTCTGCTTCTATGGGGTGGCGGTGGCCTCGGAAATCCTGCAGGGCAGTTCTCCTGCTGCAGCTTGCCGTGAGCTATTATCAAGTCAGCAGCAGTGTCGTGACCTTGTGTCAGGCAGCATGTTCATTTGTGTCATTCAGTCCTCGCAGTACAGCCCATGAATGAATCGTAGGGCCTGCTTTTATTATAGATGAGGTGATTGGGGCTGAGCCTTCAGGGTGCGTGCTGAACCTGGATGTGAACCTCAGGGTAGCCAGAGATGATTCCTCCAACAGCGAGTGGGATTAGCATCCAATGGTGAAAGGTAAACAGTGGGTGAGGGTGAGCTGAGCCTGCAGCATCCTGGGAAGAGCAGTAGGAGGAGGGCTTCTCCTCCCGCGCTGCTGTAACAGAAAGACCACCAGGGATGGCTTCAGCCAACATACGCAGCTCACAGTTTCGGAGGCTGGAGTCCAGATGCAGAGTGCTGGCGGCAAGGGAAGCCTTTCTCTCTGTTGGCACCCGGTCTAGGAGGGAGACCCTCGTCTCCTTTCAGCAGTCCTTGCCTCCATCCTCCCCAGGGTCGGTGCAGGCACACCACGTCCAAAGGATGCACCCCTCGTGGCTCCCCTTTCTCGAAGGCGGTCGGCCCTCTCATCTCTGCTCACATCTCTCTCCTTTTATTTCTTATAAGATACAAGGTGTTGCAGGCCTCCCTCCAGGAGCTCCCCCTGACCTCAAGTCACGGCAGGGCCAGGTGAAGGGTGTTGCAGCCACCTTTAACCCTCGTACTGGTTTATCACATCACATCACATCCCGGCCCAGCCACGCTGACACATATTTGTTGTTGTGTTGTTGTTAGGTGCCATCGAGTCAGTACCGACCCATAGCAACCTTATGCACAGCAGAACGAAACACTGCCCGTTCCTGGGCCAACCTCACTGTTGCCACGCTTGAGTCCGTCGATGCTGCTACTTGGCCAATCCATCTCATTGGGGGTCTTCCTCGCTTTCTCTTACCAAACACGATGTCCTTCTCCAGCGACTGGTCCCTCATGACAATATTTGGGGGGACACAATTCAGTCAGTGACAGAGAGTGTCAGCTCCGACAATGCCAGTGGCCACGTCCTCACCCCAGGTGGACTGGGGCCCAAGTGAAATAGAAAGAGGTTTTTGTGACTTTGTCCTCAGCTCCTGGCTCTTAGTAGAGGTTTCCACTCGGATACAAATTAGAATCGGTCAGATGGGACTTGTTCTAATTGAGACAGGCAGGTACGGCCTCGTTTCCTGCCAGCTGGCTGCCCTGGGCCAGTTTGAGCCCAAGACCTTGAGGGAAACAAGCTCTGTGGCCCCTCCAAGGAGGCACCTGTATGGGCTCTCAGCACCATCCAGGCCTCTCCTCTTCTTGCCTCTGGAGACACCTGCCTTGGACTCTCGGAATTTCTGTTACTCTGGCTTTGCGTGCTTACAGAGGCTGAGCTTCAGAGCAGGCTGTCCAGGCCCCCACGAGCAGACACAGCCTGAGTGGCCTGATCTGTCCTGGGGGGCTTATGCCTTGGCCTTTGGGCGACTTGGCTCTAAAGCGGTCTCTTTCTCTTTCGCCTTGCTGATTTGGGGGCTTAGGATGCCCTTCTGGTCTACTTGTGTTCTCTACCCTGCCCCCGTTTACCTGGCAGACAAGCTCCTGACACCGATGTAGCCTCATTCAGATGATGCTTCTGTCTGCGCCATAGGCCACAGGTGTGGCCCCTTTCCCTGCACAGTGCCCGTGTCAGGTCAACACTTGTGTGCTGTCTACAGCTGTCATGGGTTATCTGGCCCGACACCAGCTTGGCCCCTTCACAGCACCGTGTCTGTCCTGCCCTGTGGGCCCACTCGAGGGCCACTGAAGGATACGTTTGCTGAAGGTTATTTGCCTGTAAATGGAGCTTGGGGTATTACTGAGCTGGATGAGTGGGGTCTTTGTTTTTGTATTTTTTTGTGTGTGACTGGTGATGGCTTATCCTAGTCTGTAGCACTGTTGTAGTAGAAATCCCGCAAGGGGATGGGCTTCCCAACAGAAACGTGTTCACTCACGGCTTAGGAGGCGAGAAGTCCTCATCCAGAGTGCTGGCCCCAGGGGAAGGTCTTCTTTCTGTCAGCTCTGAGGAAAGACCTTGTCTCCGCTCAGCATCTGCACACCCAGCAATCTTTGGCAATCTCCGTGTGACTTCCCCTGGATCTGGGAACCCACCCCCACCCTACTCGTCTTTCTTGGTGGCAGTAGGCCCCTCTTTCTCTGCTCCCTTCTCCTGTTACCTCTTGTGAGATGAAAGATGTTGCAGGTCACACCCCCAAGGAAGCCTTCCTTCTGTTGGCTGACTGCTAATAGGAGACCCCATCATGATGCCATTGTGTTATATTAACTCTCCTCATGGGGATGACGACGTCTCAACTGCCAAACCACCGACAACCCTGGCCCAGCACAAGGTGACTGTCAAAGTCATTCCTGTGAAAGAGGAGGCAGGCGCCAACTTAGGAATGTCTGAACCGACCTCTCTAATGCCAAGGAGAATTTTGAAGTAAATACAATGGTTCATGATAACAAATGGATACTACTTTTTGTTGTATATCAGCATTTTTGCTCTATTTTTATGTTAAAGATGTTTTGGTGTACCTGAAATGTTTCTTTAATGTTTTTTATGCTTAGAAAGGGATACCATACACTATATCCTGAGACAGAAACTGACCCGCATTAGATATGAACCATACGTTTTTGTTCCATCTTCTGTACAAACTTCCATACGGTCTTAGGAACACAACTCTGTTCGTAGTTCAGGGCCATCCTGTAGTTGTGTCTCAGTTGGGTTGGAGAAACCCAGGTACTCATATTTTCTGACATTTGTCTTATTCTTAGAGAAAGAAAAGCATATGTGTTGGTAAAGAAGCACCGTGATGGTTTATTTTAAATCCTTTCACAGTATAGGTGGAAAGGTTCTTTCTATACTGGCTATTTCTTAGCCTAGAATAGTGACTGTCCCATAAGGCACCATGCACTGGCCTCTTACTCTAACTAAATTGGGTGGAGACATTTTGCTCACGAAGCCAGGCGTTGTCCCAGCCAAACTCTGCATTTTCCCCTCACGGGTCTTCTTGTTGTCGTTGTCGGGTGCCATCGAGTCGGAACCGACTCATAGCGACCCCATGCACAGCAGATGTCCGATCCTGGGCTAACCTCACTACCGCTGCCACACTTGAGTCCATCAATGATGCCACCTGGCCGATCCATCTCGTTGGAGGTCTTCCTCTTTTTCTCTGACCCTCCACCTTACCCAGCATGACATCCTTCTCCAACGATTGTTTCCTCCGGACAATATGTCTTCTATAATGTCCATTTCCCTGGGGCGCCCTTGTCTGAATCAACAGTGGGTCCTGTGCACGTGCTCTTTCTCCTGAGACGATTGTGGCCTCAGTTCTGTTCTTCTCCGGCCACAGACCAAGCCCTCTGAAGGCAGGGACCACTGTGTCTTTACCTCAGTGGTCCCAGCACCTTGCTTCTCAAAGTGACATCCAGAGAGCCAGAGTGAATACGTCAAGAGGGTTGTGGGCCAATAGGGGACACAACAGTGTCCTGGGTGACATGTCACCCCAAAAGGTTCTGCAGTGTGCCCACTTAACCTCCAAAATGCCCACGCACTGGCATTGGGGTTCTGATTGTGGTTGGAGTCACCATCAGATGCCTCCTGGGTCCACTCATCACTGCAGCTCTGTCTGAAGTTGTTGGGATATCTCCATGATTCCAGAAAGCAATCAGCTTTCTTTTTCTTGGGGACACGGTTGAGATGGCAATCTGGGGTACAGATGACCTCATTCAGAGGCTTTCTTCTGAAGGCGTATGCCATAGCGAAGCCCAGGAAGGAGCCCACACCTGAATCATGAGCACTTTCTCTCTGGACAGCTGTTCTGTTTTTATCCAGTGCAGGGCCTTGGACCAGTACTGACCCACAGCTGGTCTTGCTC